AATCCCCTGAAGGGGAATTTACACTGGCCTAGAACACCAACACTCCCAGAAGGGTTCCTTCTCACCCTCCAAGGCTGTAGGTCCATCTCCTTCCTCTCCTTCCTGCTTCACCTCCTTCAGCTGGAGGCTCTGGGTGGGGCCTGAGGGAGATTCCTCTGATGCAGGGACATCAGGCTGGACTTCTATGCAGTTATTTTGGGCCTGAAAGCAGACAAAGAAATCCATAAGTAGAATAGAGAAAGATTAGAAAAGTATTTTTTTTCCCAAATGTGCAGAAACTGCATTCTGAAATTGGCCGCATTCCACCTTCCATCATTTTCAAATTGGAGTAGAGCAGCAACTGAGCTTCCAGTGGATATGGAGGTGAGAGCAGGAGGGACAGAGCAGGGGGGGGGAAAGAGGCCGAGGGAGCAGAGTCCGGCTTCTCCCTCACATCGGTCCCATCTTGGAAGGAAGGCAGGATGTACATTTAATCTCTCCATCAGTCCCAAGGTGAGGGAACCCAAGAGGCAATGCTCTCACCTGTCCCTCCTGCTTCTCGTCCTCTTCCATCACATTCAATGTAATATCTGGGGTCAACATATTGAAGTCGAGGAGCAACTGAGCTTACAGTGGATACGGAAGTGAGAGCAGGAGGGGCAGAGCAGGGGGGAAAAGGGGCCGAGGGAACAGAGTCTGGCTTCTCCCTCACATCGGTCCCATCTTGGAAGGAAGGCAGGATGTACGTTTAATCTCTCCATCACTGGCAAGGTGAGTGAAGCCAAGAGGCAATGCTCTCACCTGTCCTTCCTGCTTCTCGTCCTCTTCCCGACTCAGGAGGAAGCCTTCCGCCAGGGCCACCGCCTGGGAAGAGGTCTCTGCCCCACACTCTCGGACCCAGCTCCCTATCTCTGGGGGCAGGATGCTCAGGAACTGCTCCAGGATCACCAGGTCCAGCATCTCCGCCTTGGTGTGTTGCTCTGGCTTCAGCCACTGGCGGCAGAGATCGTGGAGGCGGCTGCAAACCTCTCTGGGTCCCTCACCCTCTCGGAAGGAGGAATGCCTGAAGCGCTGGCGCTGTGTGTCTGAGCTATAAAGGCCCACACTCAGGAAGTTATGTGTTATTTTTTCCCAGGATGCTCCACTGCTCCCAGGTGCTGCTTCAGGTCCAGGTGAGTTGGGTCTCTCCATGCTGGAACCACTCTTTGATGAAGAAGCCAAGTGGGTCCAAGATGCTCTTCCTGGCTCTTCTCTCAAGGGAAGGAAATCCCTAATTCTCAGCCCACAATCAAATTTCCTCTGTGAAAGAAAGTCAGAATTAGATAACAGGCTTTGGGAGGTTTTTTCTTGGAGAGTGAATCTAAGGCTTCTCTTCCCCGCTCCATCCCTTTTCTCGGTGACAACGTAAACATTTATGTAGTCCTAATATCCTGATCGGGGCTCTGCCTCCCTCCTCCTCCCCTTCTATGTTTTCTTTTTTCCTTTGTGTGAAAAACATCTTTTCCTTTGATATGGATAATAAAAACTTAAGGGGGAAAAGAGGCCGGTGAGTGGGATGGAAGGGGAAAGCCCTGGGCCTCTCTCTGCCTGTCTCTCTCTCTCCTCCCAAGGACTCCACCCGGTGGGAGAAGCAGATGACTACCAACCCCAGGTTAGTCCAGGCCTGGGCCCACTCCAGCCCTCCCTCCAGGTGTGTTGGGCTTCAGCCCCTCTTTGGCCCTTTGGAGAAGGAATGGGAAGAAGGGTCACCAGAAGGAGGAAGAGAAGGAGGAGGAGGATAAGAAGAGGAGGAAGAGGAGGAGGAGGAGGAGGAGAAGAGAGATAGGCTAAGAAGAAGAGGAGGAGGAGGAAGAGGAGGAAGGAGAGGCTGACAGAGCCAACTCCCCTCTCCCAGCCAAGCAAGGAAGGGTTAAGAGGAGAGAGTGTGGTTCCTAGAAGGACAGGAAAAGCGGGTCTAAGGAGGCCCACTTCCTTCCTGCCTCTCTGGGAACCACACTCCCTCCCCTTAACCCTTCCTTGCCCAGCATTGCTCTGAAGAGGGGAAAGAGCATCTCTCCAAAGCCCTGGAACCAAAGGATGAAAGATGATGGCAGAGACAGAGTCATGGAGGAAAATTCCATATTCATAGGATAGTTAAGATATAATATCTCCCTGCCAAACCTTTGTTGCCCAGCCCCACTGAACATTAAAGGTAATCGGTCAGTCCAAGAGAGAGAATAATAATAATAATAATAATAATAATAATAATAATAATAATAATACCATTTTATTTGTACCCCGCTTCCATCTCCCCAAGGGACTCAGTGCGGCTTACATGAGGCCGAGCCCAAACCCAACAATACAAGCAAGAATCACAACAATACAAGCAATTAAAATAAAACACAGACAATAAACATATAACATTATCAATAAGACAACATACAATTTTTTTTCTCGTTTCAGGAGCGACCTGAGGAACTGCAAGTCGCTTCTGGTGTGAGAGAATTGGCCGTCTGCAAGGATGATTTTTTTTTTATGTTTTATCATCCTTGTGGGAGGCTTCTCTCATGTCCCCGCATTGAAGGGGTGAATAGAGCTTATTAGGAAATTATTAGTGCCTATTGGGAAAATGCTGAAAACTGTAAAAGCCTAAGGAAGAGTCTTGTCCTTTGCCATAGAAAAGGTGCAAGGACAAGAGGAGAGACAGTTTTGGAAGAGAACAGGAAAGAACAGGATGCAGGGCTGAAGGACGTAGGACAACATGACATCCAAGGATCTGCAGTCATAACATGAGTACGAGAGACTCTTAAGTGGGTGAAAGGGCTCTGTCCTTGTAGAGTTGAGAGGAAGGAGGTGAAAGAACATGTTTTGAAAGGAAGTTTGGAAGAGGGGTGGATCTGTTCATGACACGGCAGAAAAAGGGTATAAGAATGAAATTGAAAAGATCAGATGGCACAGGCAGCCTTTTTGATAGACATCTGATTGTCTTGCTGTTTCTGTCTCAGTGTAATTTCTAGCCAGAGATATTTATTATTTATTTATTTGCGACATTTCTTTGCCGCCCTTCTCACCCCAAAGGGCACTCAGAGCAGCTTACAAGTAAAATGAAAATATAACATATTATATTATTAACATAGCACAATATTAACATTATATATTACATTGTACTATAACATTATACTGTAATATTATTAGTAATATTACATGTAATATAAAATATATAATTATAATATATTATTATTAGCAATATATTGTACCACATTATAATATTATCAATATTATATGTATATTATATGTAATATTATATTATATTATATTATATTATATTATATTATATTTTAAGCACAGTGTAGGAGACAAGATGAACCTGCCTTCCTGGCCTCTTTTTTCACTTGATATGATTTGCACATCAAGAGAAATAACCGTGCAAGCATCTTTTCCTTTGGCTGGGCCTCAAAAGAAGCAACGTGTTCAATTCTGGGATCCCACCTGAAAGACAACACTCACAAACTGGAAATTTGCAGCCAAGGTGGTAAAGGAGGTGGAAACTAAGCCCAGAGGAACAACCGATGGAGTTACATATGGTTTATTTAAAAAAATAAGTGACATCTCAATCGTATTTAACCCTCATGAGGATTGTCACAAAGAGCTTGCTTTCTGCTACTCCCGAGAAGAGGACCTCAACTTAGGAATTCATAGGCCAAGAAAGTGGACTCTACCAGATCTTAGCTAGAACTTCTCAAATGGTCCTGTTTGAAATCGGATGTTTACCCACAAAGGATAAACAGAGGAAAGCCAGTCCAGTCCCATGGTGATGTCTGTGACCAGGGAAGCAAAAGAGTTCGCCAAAACAGTCCCAAGTCAAGCAAAGTGAAAAACCTGAACAGAGTTCAAAACCAAGAATGGGAATTGTCTAAGAAATGCGTCCAAAGTCAAGCCAAGTACTACTTGAAGCCAAGGGAATCACACATGTCCATCGGAAAATGTGGAATGTATAGTCTGTTGTTGTTGTTGTTCATTCGTTCAGTCAGTCGTCTCTGACTCTTCGTGACCACATGGACCAGCCCACGCCAGAACTCCCTGTCGGCCGTCACCACCCCCAGCTCCTTCAAGGTCAGTCCAGTCACTTCCTTTTTACCTTTTACCTACCTGTATAGTCTACAGCAGGGGTCCTCAAACTTTTTAAACAGAGGGCCAGGTCCCAGTCCCTCAAACTGTTGGAGGGCCGGATTATAATTTGAAAAAAACATGAATGAATTCATATGCACACTGCACATATCTTTATTTGTAGTGCAAAAGACACATAAAAACAATACCATAATTAAAACGAAGAACAATTTAAACAAATATAAACTTATTAAATATAAACTGGAGAACAAGCCCTATGAGGAACGGCTTAAGGAGCTGGGCATGTTTAGCCTGAAGAAGAGAAGGCTGAGAGGGGATATGATAGCCATGTATAAATATGTGAGAGGAAGCCACAGGGAGGAGGGAGCAAGCTTGTTTTCTGCTTCCCTGGAGACTAGGACGCGGAACAATGGCTTCAAACTACAAGAAAGGAGATTCCATCTGAACATGAGGAAGAACTTCCTGACTGTGAGAGCCGTTCAGCAGTGGAACTCTCTGCCCCAGAGTGTGGTGGAGGCTCCTTCTTTGGAAGCTTTTAAACAGAGGCTGGATGGCCATCTGTTGGGGGTTATTTGAATGCGATGTTCCTGCTTCTTGGCAGAATGGGGTTGGACTGGATGGCCCATGAGGTCTCTTCCAACTCTATGATTCTATTAGTATTTCAATGGGAAGTGTGGGCTTACTTTTGGCTGATGAGATAAGATTGTTGTTGTTATTGTGTGGTTTCAAGTCGTTTCAGACTTAGGTTGACCCTGACCGAGGGCCAGGTAAATGACCTTGGAGGGCCGCATCCGGCCCCCGGGCCTTAGTTTGAGGACCCCTGGTCTACAGGACCAGAATGTCCAAACCTGAAATTTCCCTGTTGCAATTCATTTCATTACTTTTTTCCCAGCTCTTTGGATGTTTTTGCTCTTCTATGAATCCTCTGGTGACTCACAAGATATGAACTCTGAGTAAAACATTTCCCACACTCCTGGCATTGGTATGGCTTCTCTCCTGTGTGGAGTGTTTTGTGCCTCACCAAGTGTGAACTCCTAGAAAAACATTTCCCACACTCCTGGCATTGGTATGGCTTCTCCCCTGTGTGGAGTCTTCTGTGCCTCACTAAGCCGGAACTGTCAGCAAAACATTTCCCACACTCCTGGCATTGGTATCGCTTCTCTCCTGTGTGGAGTCTTTTGTGGCTCACCAAGGTGGAACTCTGAGCAAAACATTTCCCACACTCCTGGCATTGGTATGGCTTCTCTCCTGTGTGGAGTGTTTTGTGCCTCACCAAATGTGAACTCTGAGCAAAACATTTCCCACACTGCTGGCATTGGTATGGCTTCTCTCCTGTGTGGAGCCTTTTGTGGATCACCAAGGCTGGACTCTGAGCAAAACATTTCCCACACTCCTGGCATTGGTACGACTTCTCCCCTGTGTGGAGTCTTCTGTGCTTCACCAAGGTTGAACTCATAGAAAAACATTTCCCACACTCCTGGCATTGGTACGGCTTCTCTCCTGTGTGGACTCTTTTGTGGCTCGCCAAGGCTGAATTGTAAGCAAACCATTTCCCACACTCCCGGCATTGGTATGGCTTCTCTTCTGTGTGGAGTGTTTTGTGCTCCACCAAGGCTGAACCGCTGGCAAAACATTTTCCACACTTCTGGCACTGGTATGGCTTCTCTCCTGTGTGGATTCTTTTGTGCTTCACCAAGGCTGAACTCACAGAATAACATTTCCCACACTGCTGGCATTGGAAAGGCTTCTCTCCTGTGTGGAGTCTTTCGTGGCTCACCAAGGTTGAACTGTGAGTAAAACATTTCCCACACTGCAGGCATTGGTATGGCTTCTCTCCTGTGTGGATTGTTTTGTGGATCACCAAGGCTGAACTCTGAGCAAAACGTTTCCCACACTCCTGGCATTGGTATGGCTTCTCTCCTGTGTGGAGTCTTTTGTGGCTCACCAAGTTTGAAATCTGAGTAAAACATTTCCCACACTCCTGGCATTGGTATGGCTTCTCTCCAGTGTGGAGTCTTTTGTGGTTCTTCAAGGTTGAACTCTGAGTAAAACATTTCCCACACTCCTGGCATTGGTATTGCTTGTCTCCTGTGTGGAGTCTTTTGTGCCTCACAAAGGCTGAACTGTCAGCGAAACCTTTCCCACACTCCTGGCATTGGTACGGCTTCTCTCCTGTGTGGAGTCTTTTGTGGTTCACCAAGGCTGAACTGTAAGCAAAACGTTTCCCACACTCTTGGCACTGGTGTGGCTTCTCTTCATATACATTGCATTTGTAGGGCCTTTCTCTGGCAGAACCTCCATCTTCACTGTGGGTTTGCTGGTGTCTAGGAAGGCCCCCATTGAGCCCAAAATGCTTCCTACATTTGGTATATACATTGCTCTTCTTCCAGTTATCTGCTGTGAAGAAGAAGGACAGAAACAATCACTTCTCAGCGTGAGTGTTTAGGTGTCCAAAGATATAAATGCTGTCCTCCCTCCACCCCTTGTGCAGTAAGGCCTGACACTGTTTGACTGCCTGGAGCCTCTAAGGAAGAGATGAATAACATAGGCTCCAGCACATCCCTGTTCCTCATCTAGCATGTTTTTTTATTCTGTCTCCTTCTCCCTTTTCCCTTCACATTCAAATCCTTGCCTTTTTCTCTAGCTAAACCTTTCCCTTGCTACCACCCATTCCACAATCATTCCCTTCTTTTCCTTTCTCTCCCCCAACCGTCAGTTCTCTCTCCCCATGTGACTGTAAACAAAAAACCCCGAGCCCCTATCATTCACAAGCACAGAACATAGGACACATTATGTTGCAGGTCACCATCTTGCTAATCACTGAAGGCTAGGGACAGTTTGCATGCTGGGAGAGGCAGCGTACAAAGAGAGCCTGGCCTGCAGACACGCGGAGGCTAGACTGCCTGGCTGGGAGGAGAACAAGGCTGAACATGAGCCCAATAAAAAGACATATAGCAGCGCCTGTGTACGTGAAGCCAGCGGATGTTTGTTCTTCTTGATGCTCCACTCTCCAGCCAATCAATCTGGGCAATGGCTCTTAATAGATTTCCAGGGAGCCCGAGTTACTGGGAAGGAGCCTGTCAGCAGACATCAAGAGCAAGTCGGCTTTTGCAACACAACTCTTTCCTATCATTTCTCCTTTTGGCTTCAGGCACGCAGTGGCTTTCCAAGCCGTCCAAGAGCACACAGGATGCAAAACCAGGGGGCTGGAAATGTGGGCCTGAAGTCAGGAGAGGCTTGCTGGGTGACTTATTGGAAATCTGCTTCCCAACCCCCTCCCCTGCCAATCTCTCTCTCACACACTCTCACAGAGATACAGAGAGAGAGCGATGGTGTGACTGATCTGGGGTGAACACTCTTGATAGGCTTTCCAGGGGGCCCTGGTGCCGTGAGGAAGTGTGGTACGCTTGGACTTGACTATTGAAGTCTTCCCACTGGAGTCCAAATTGGTGCTAAGATTGCTGTTGCTCAGGCACCAAGTCAATATTACTCTTATGTCACATATCTCTAGCATAAGCCCTGCCTTGAGAACTCTCAGCGATTGTGATGATTTAGGATAATACTGCATTTTGAAATAGAAATCCCCACGAGTGAGGGAGCCTTACCAAGAGAGTCCACCATCCCGTGAATCTCCTCCATGATCTGCACGTGCAAGGCTTTCTGATCAGGACTCAGGAGAGCCCACTCCTCCGGGGAGAAATGGACAGCCACCTCCTCAAAGGCGATTGGGCCCTGGTGGGAAAAGAACACATTTCCTTCTCACATCAGGGAAATCAAGAAAAATAAGTAAAAGAAACTCTTTAAAGCAGGTTTACATTCCTGTTGGGCTACGGCCTCCGTGCCATAGTTTAAGCTTTGTAGAGACGTCTGGTTGATCACAATTAAGAACCATTTCTCAATTTATTGTTGAAAGCTTTCATGGCCGGAATCACTGGTTTGTTGTAGGTTTTTTCGGGCTATATATAGAATCATAGAATCAAAGAGTTGGAAGAGACCTCATGGGCCATCCAGTCCAACCCCCTGCCAAGAAGCAGGAATATTGCATTCAAATCACCCCTGACAGATGGCCATCCAGCCTCTGTTTAAAAGCCTCCAAAGAAGGAGCCTCCACCACACTCCGGGGCAGAGAGTTCCACTGCTGAACGGCTCTCACAGTCAGGAAGTTCTTCCTCATGTTCAGATGGAATCTCCTTTCTTGTAGTTGAAGCCATTGTTCCTTGTCCTAGTCTCCATGGAAGCAGAAAACAAGCTTGCTCCCTCCTCCCTGTGGCTTCCTCTCACATATTTATACATGGCTATCATATCTCCTCTCAGCCTTCTCTTCTTCAGGCTAAACATGCCCAACTCCTTAAGCCGCTCCTCATAGGGCTTGTTCTCCAGACCCTTCATCATTTTAGTCGCCCTCCTCTGGACACATTCCAGCTTGTCAATATCTCTCTTGAATTGTGGTGCCCAGAATTGGACACAATATTCCAGGTGTGATCTAAACAGAGCAGAGAGAGATCAACCCTCCTGTTTAAGGAGCTCCACTGGCTGCCATTTATCTTCCGAGCCCAATTTAAGGTGCAGGTGCTTACCTACAAAGCCCTTAATGGTTTGGGACCCGCCTATCTGCGTGATCGCATCTCCATTTATGAACCCACGCGTTCACTTCGTTCATCCGGAGAGGCCTTGCTCATGATTCCACCTGCGTCACAGGCACGTTTGGTGGGGACACAAGACAGGGCCTTTTCTGTGGTGGCCCCCCGACTCTGGAACACCCTCCCCAAAGATCTTAGCCAGGCCCCTACATTGGCAGTCTTTAGAAAGAACTTGAAGACCTGGCTGTTCCGATGTGCCTTCCCAGAATAGGAAATCTCCAATACCAAGTCCCAGAAGCACTTTATTATAACTAAGATTGCCGCACACCGCACACTGCACTTACCCTATAATCCTTACATATCACCTGTCACATCAGCACTTTTAATCCTGTACCCACTACTCTGGCCTGGCCCAGTTTTATAGTGTCTTAGTGTATTGTTTATTGCTTGTTGTTTAATATTGCTTTAATTGTTTTTAATTTGCTTTAGGTGTTGTATTGTTATGCTGTGTTTTGAGGCCTTGGCCTTTGTAAGCCACATCGAGTCCTTCGGGAGATGCTAGCGGGGTACAAATAAAGTTTACTAGAACATGGCCATATAGCCCGAAAAATCCTACAACAACCCATTTCTCAACTGATATTTAGAATCAGAAATGGAATCTGGACATGTCCCAGCTTTTATCGTGTTGCGCAGAATCAGACACAGTGATATTCCAGGTGAGGTCCCACCAAAGTAGAAAGAAGGTCACCGTGACTTCCCTTAATGTAGGCACTACATTCCTTTCGATGCAGCCCAAAATCCCACATTCCTTTCGATGCAGGTTTTCAAGCTGCTGCATCACATTGTTGGCTTGGTCAGATCCCTTTTTAAATTCTACATCAATGTCACTCTAGTCTCCGTCTCACTTGTTTCATCTCCGCCAACTCTGTGGAAAACCAAGGGGCTGCTTTGGCTCTGCTCCACGAGAAGGGTGGTGTCCACTGCCCCAGCCAATTCCCCATTCCAGAGGAAAGCCAGAACTTCAACAGAATCGCCTGCCAAAGTGACAGGAAAGTCCCCAGGAGTCGCCAGGAACCCATCCGGTTCCATATGCCTCCTGGGACGGACCGTCTTAATCGGTCTCCCTCCTCTGCAGAGGTTTGGAGTCCGTGCAAGTCTAAACCCGACCAGGTAGTGATTGGTCCATGACAACAGAACTCTGACCGGTTTACACACACCACCATCCCCACCACCTCATCCAGCACAGAAAACAAGTTCCAAAGTGTGTCCGGCACCGCGAGTAGGGCAAGACATGACCTGAGACAGACCCATGGTTGTCACTCTTGTCACTCTTAAGGAACTCCCATTCAGTCCTTTCTGTTTCAAGAGATGTTTGATGACTGAGCCTGGGACCAATGACCCCCAGGTAGCTCCCTTCCGCCTCTCCCAGGAAACCTTCTGCTTACCTGATTCACTTCCACTCCATCACAAAGCGGAAGAAACAACTGAGGATTCGGTAACAACATTCCAGTCCCTGGGAGAGAGAGAGAACAAGGGTGGAAAGCTGGTCAGATAAACATGTCTCAGGGGAGAGAATTACTGTCCTATAAAGAAATCTATGAGGAAATGACCCTATGAACCCAGGAGCATTCTCCAGCCCAGGAATAGGTAACATTTTGGAGATTAGGACTTTTTATCTCAACCAGTGCTGTGAGTAGGTTGGACCATCACAAAAGGGAAGACTCGACTGTGGATTCAGCCATAGCATCATTCCAGTCCCTGGGAGAGAGAGAGAGAGAGCAAGGGGTGGAAAGCTGGTCACATAAGCATGTCTCAGAGGAGAGAATTACTGTCCTATAAAGAAATCTATGAGGAAATGACCCTATGAACCCAGGAGCATTCTCCAGCCCAGGAATAGGTAACATTTTGGAGATTAGGACTTTTTATCTCAACCAGTGCTGTGAGTAGGTTGGATTGAAACTAGTCCTGGGCTTGGTACTGAAATTGACTACAGTTATTCTTTGTTGTCTGTCTTCCAGCTCAGTTTCAGGACTCATCTTAGCTTCAGGTCCCACCTGGGAAGATACTGGAGGGCTGATTTTTCCGTCCTACTTAACAGTATGCAAATGTAGAAGCATTGCCAGAAAGAAGACTGCAAATCACACTGAAATTACACATTTTGCCCCTGAATGGATATCTATGGTGATGATGATGATGATGATGATTCCAAACACAATAAGATGAGTCGACAGCAGACAAGATCACTGTGCTGGCTGTTGAATTGGATCACACGTCGGACCCTTCCCAAGTGTCTAGGACTGTGTGATGTATCGGCGAATAATGGGTGCAGATCCCAGTAAGGTGGCCTTCTGCAGATGGTAATTTTGTCAGCACCAATTGTGTTTAAGGTCAGGCCAAGGTCTTTAGGCACTGCACCCAGTGTGCTGATCACCACTGGGACCACCTTGACTGGCTTGTGCCAGAGTATTTAAATCCTCATACCGTGTCAGCTTTTCCTGTTGTTTCTCTGCAATCCCTTTGTCACCTGAGATTGCAACATCGACAATCCATACTTTGTTTTTTAACACGATTGTGAGGTCAGGAGTATTATGCTCCAGAACTCTGTCTGTCTAAATCTGGAAGTCCCAGAGTAGCTTGTCGTGTTCATTCTGTGGAACTTTTTCTGGCTTGTGCTCCAACCAGTTCTTTGTTGCAGGCACACGGTATACAATTATTATTATTATTATTATTATTATTATTATTATTATTATTATTATCCATTTTATGAGCAGAATTTGTATATTTATTCCATACTCGTCATTCATCTACAACAACATATCCCCCACCTCTTCCTATTTCTCACTCTTCCTCCCTTCTATATTATCCACTCATTTAGCTTAGTTCTCTTCACTCTATCCACACTACAATCTCCATTATAACTTTAACTTGATTCATGAACTCAGCTTTTCCTATCTCTGTACAATATTGACATTGGATTCTCCACTTTTTATCCATTCCACACCTGTATACTCATTTCAAGGCCAAATGATCCTGCATGCCCACCTTCTCTAGCTCACACCGAATGTGGATGTGCTACAATCCTCTGAAGGGGCATTTACACTGGCCTAGAACACCAACACTCCCAGAAGGGTTACTTCTCACCCTCCAAGGCTGTAGGTCCATCTCCTTCCTCTCCTTCCTGCTTCACCTCCTTCTGCTGGAGGCTCTGGGTGGGGCCTGAGGGAGATTCCTCTGATGCAGGGACATCAGGCTGGACTTCTATGCAGTTATTTTGGGCCTGAAAGGAGACAGAGAAATCCATAAGTAGAATAGAGAAAGATTAGAAAAGGATTTTTTCCCCAAATGTGCAGAAACTGTATTCTGAAATTGGTCGCATTCCACCTTCCATCATTTTCAAATTGGAGTAGAGCAGCAACACAGCTTACACTGGATATGGAGGTGAGAGCAGGAGGGGCAGAGCAGGGGGGGAAAGAGGCCGAGGGAGCAGAGTACGGCTTCTCCCTCACATCGGTCCCATCTTGGAAGGAAGGAAGGCAGGATGTATGTTCAATCTCTCCATCAGTCCCAAGGTGAGTGAAGCCAAGAGGCAATGCTCTCACCTGTCCTTCCTGCTTCTTGTCCTCTGCCCGACTCAGGAGGAAGCCTTCCGCCAGGGCCACCGCCTGGGAAGAGGTCTCTGCCCCACACTCTCGGACCCAGCTCCCCATCTTTGGGGGCAGGATGCTCAGGAACTGCTCCAGGTCCATCATCTCCACCTTGGTGTGTTGCTCTGGCTTCAGCCACTGGCGGCAGAGATTGTGGAGGTGGCTGCAAACCTCTCTGGGTTGCTCGCCCTCTCGGAAGGAGGAATGCCTGAAGCGCTGGCGCTGTGTGTCTGAGCTATAAAGGTCCACACTCTGGGACTTATGTGTTATTTTTCCCCAGGATGCTCCACTGCTCCCAGGTGCTGCTTCAGGTTCAGGTGAGTTGGGTCTCTCCATGCTGGAACCACTCTTTGATGAAGGAGCCAAGTGGGTCCGAGATGCTCTTCCTCCCTCTTCTCTCTACAGGCTCAACTCCAAAATTCTCAGCCAACAATCAAATTTCCTCTGTGAAAGAAAGTCAGAATTAGCCAACAGGTTTCGGTTGAGGCCCTGCTCTCGATCCCACCAGCATCGCAGGTGCGATTGGTGGGGACGAGAGAGAGGGCCTTTTCGGTGGTGGCCCCTCCACTCTGGAACTCACTCCCTAAAGACATCAGACAGGCTCCAACTCTGACAGTCTTCCGGAGGAGCTTGAAGATGTGGCTGTTCCAGTGTGCCTTCCCGGAATAATGATCCTATAGCACTTTGTCCTCCAAAGCACTTTACATTTCTTTAAGTCTGCTCGTATGCCCTTCCACAAACACCAGTATCACCTTTCGTTCATGTCCCAGCATTATTTCCAATTTTAACTCTACATTTGGCCTTCCCACTGTTTTTAATTATGTGTTGTTTTATTGATAATGTTGTGTATTTTATTGTCTATGTTTTTTATTTTAATTGCTTGTATTATTGTTATTATTGCTTGTACTGTTGTGTTTGGGCTCGGCCTCATGTAAGCCGCACCGAGTGCCTTGGGGAGATGGTAGCGGGGTACAAATAAAGTATTATTATTAGGGAGGCTTTCTTTCTTTGAGAGTGAATCTAAGGCTTCTCTTCCCCGCTCCATCCCTTTTCTCGGTGACACAGCAGACATTTATGTAGTCCTAATATCCTGATGGGGGCTCTGCCACCCTCCTCCTCCCCTTCTATGTTCTCCTTTTTTCTTTGTGTGAAATTATCTTTTCCTGTGAAATGGGAAATAAAAACTTAAGGGGAAAAAGAGGCCGGTGAGTGGGTTGGAAGGGGAAAGCCCTGGGCCTCTCTCTGCCTGCCTCTCTCTCTCTCTCCCCTTCCAAGGATCCCCAGGTGGGAGAAGCAGATGACTACCAACCCCAGGTGAGGCCAGGCCTGGGCCTACTTCAGCCCTGCCTCCAGGTGTGTTGGGCTTCAGCCCCTCTTTGGCCCTTTGGAGAAGGAATGGGAAGAAGGGTCACCAGAAGGAGGAAGAGAAGGAGGAGGAAGAGGCTGACAGAGCCAACTCCCCTCTCCCAGCCAGGCAAGGAAGGATGAAGGGGAGGGAGTTTAGCTCCTAGAGGGACAGGAAAGGAGGGTCTGAGGGAGGTCACTTCCTTCCTGCCTCTCTGGGAACCAAACTCCCTCCCCTTAACCCTTCCTTGCCCAGGGTGACACTCCAAGGAGGGGGAAAGAGCCTCTCTCCAAAGCCCTGGAACCAATTTTTCTTACTCTACAGACAAACTTATTTATTTATTGCTTCTAAGGTGCCTTTTTCCAACGGACTCAAGGCGGTTTACAGCAGAATTCAAGCACACAATATAAAACAAAAGCATTATAAACAGCCCAAACTGGAACGTAAGTCCTTCTTCGCAGGACATTAAAATAATCAGTTAAAATAGGTCAAAACCATCTAAAACTTCCATATGGAGATTGACACTATGGAGCGCTATATATATCCTAGGCTTCTATGCAGTTCAATGGAAAGCTTTTGTTGTTGTTCATTCGTTCAGTCGTCTCCGACTCTTCGTGACCTCATGGACCAGCCCACGCCAGAGCTCCCTGTCGGCCGTCACCACCCCCAGCTCCTTCAAGGTCAGTCCAGTCACTTCAAGGATGCCATCCATCCATCTTGCCCTTGGTCGGCCCCTCTTCCTTTTGCCTTCCACTTTCCCCAGCATAATTCCCTTCTCTAGGCTTTGCTGTCTCCTCGTGATGTGGCCAAAGGACTTCAACTTTGTCTCTAGTCTCCTTCCCTCCAATGAGCAGTCGGGCTTTATTTCCGGGAGGATGGACTGGCTGGATCTTCTCGCAGTCCAAGGCACTCTCAGCACTTTCCTCCAACACCACAGCTCAAAAGCATTGATCTTCCTTCGCTCAGCCTTCCCTAAGGTCCAGCTCTCACATCCGTAGGTTACTACAGGGAATACCATGGCTTTGACTAGGCGGATCTTTGTTGCCAGTCTGATGTCTCTACTCTTTACTCTTTTATCGAGACTGGACATTGCTCTCCTCCCAAGAAGGAAGCGTCTTCTGATTTCCTGGCCACAGTCTGCATCTGCAGTCATCTTTCCACCTAGAAATACAAAGTCTGTCACGGCCTCCACATTTTCTCCCTCTATTTTCCAGTTGTCAATCATTCTTGTTGCCATAATCTTGGGTTTTTTTTAATGGAAAGCTATTATTCACTTAATATAAGATCTAGGGACAAAATAGATCAAATTCACATAGACTATAATAAAATCAATTATTTATATATCTCACCCCTGGGGGGACTCAAAGCGGTTTACACATAACTATAACATTGTTAATTCAAAAATAAACTGAATTAAAAGTGTGTGTGCCAGGAGCAGGGTAATTTCTAGCCAGAGATATTTATTTATTTGTGACATTTATTTGCTGCCCTTCTCACCCCGAAGGGGACTCAGAGCAGCTTACA